CCGGCGCTTTCCTCCTGGGTGAAGCTTGCAAAAGAGAAGTGTCACCATGGTAAGGAAAAGCCACTTAATACATTACATAATGAAGACAGCATACAAATGTATTGGGAGATTGGCAGGGAAGGGGTAAAATAGTGCAACGTCAGTTGAGAAATCAGAATTGCGCAGGAAAAAAAAAATTATCTGTTCAGAGAGAATCTCAATGGAAGAGTTATTCTCAGTGCTGACAGCCCCTTACCTGGCTCTGCTTTATCCAGAACGGCAAGGTTGCATGTGCTTTCCTTGCCCATCTGCCAAATGCTGATCCATCAGCAGCATCATCTGCCGTTCGGTCCGTGGTGGAGGTATCTGATCCCAATCTCGGTCATCGGCGATCGTGCAGCTGCGCTCATCTCTTCCCTAGTTTTTCAAGATCCATCGGGATTGAATATATATGCACACCCACAACTTTCTAAGGCTGTCTTGGCACGGAAGGTATTGTCATAGCGATGAACTGCAATTTCTATGCCGTGGTGCAGGTAAATGGAGATGTGCTTAGTTACGCCAAAGCCAAGCGCTCTTTGATGCAGCTCTGAATGCCTTGGGCAATATTTTAGTTAAATGCTAATTATTTTAAGATCTCGCTAAAGTCACAGAGCTTGATATTTTGGTGACACAGATTCATACACTTGTTTTAAAATCCCAGGGGCAAGTTTTAAATAAGAAACGAACACAAGCATTGAAGGTTCTCATTTCTAACTCCAGACCCTGAGCTATCTGAACTCTTGCTGCTGTCATGTTATCCTATGACTTCTTTAGTGAGCTTGTTTGATCATAAGCTAAGCCTTCATTTGTGAACAGAAGACAGACTGAAGTAATACCACTGAGAGAAACAATGGCTGCCTCATTTATCCCAGTGAAAATTTATCTTTCTGGTGACTAACCACAATCACGACGTCAATTACGTCAGCTCTTCTAGCAAATTAAGAACAACAAAAAACCGGACCCAACACACATTTTCTGGTTTTGTTGTTGTTTTTTTATTACATACTTTTTTTTTTTTCTCTTGGAATTTGATCTTTTTTTCCTTAGGAATATTTTTTAAACATTTCATTTCACAACTCATAGCATATTTTTTTTTGCCATCCATTTCTTTCCAAGTTATTAAAAAGTCAGATTTTGCCATGAACTGCTTTATCTGCATTAGTTGGTATAGCTTCTTAGTTTTAATTCAAACGTGTGAATGAATATCTTCTGGTTAAAAAAAAATGTAAAGAAGGAAAAGAAAGAAGTTCTCCTTCAGGGGAAGGAGGCACAGGTGAAGAAGAGAAGTGCAAATTACAGGCAGCCTCCAGGCACGATGAAGTGATTAACAAAGTTCAGGCATGACCACAGTCAAGTGGTCTCCAGTTCATAGCAACGTGATGAGCCACGATTCAAATTTGATTTCAAATTCTGCTGCTGATTAAATATTTCAGCAACTTGTAGGAAGAGTCGTGCCCTGCAAGAGCAAATTTTTTGCCAAGGGACATTCTGGACACAAAAAACCCAACGCAGTTTGCGAGGACAAAGCTCCAAATCATCAGGAGAGATCTATGGATGTGCTCTTCAAAAATTGCCTGCTTTACTGAGGAGGAGAAAAAATGTGTGCTAAATGGCTTTGGCCCTTTTAAAACTCCCACTAACTTAATTCTGCCCTCCTGCGCTCGTTGCCATACATTTCCAACATCCTAAACATTTTTTGTCACTACAGGGGTTTCTAATCACTAAGGAAAAATCTTTACCAGTCAAAATAATGCATTTTTAGTGTTGACTAGCTATACAAACTCAATTATTCATATACTAACAAGGTCACTTCAATTAATTGAAATAGGCTTACCCAAGAGGAAAAAAAAAATCGTCTTTTTCTTAATATTTCTTCTATTTAACAGTTTGTGCCATATTGTAAAAGATACAGGTAGTGACATGTTCCTGGTAGTGCTGAGGATTTGCCAGTAGATGGCAAGCTTTACTGCCAAGAATTTTACTGCCAAACATTGCATCTGCATCCCAAGGATTTAACCGTGGGGTAAAAACGCTTGGCACTGATTCCTCTCGTAATTAGATTAATGCACCAATGTTTATAAAGAGACTGATAATTACCTCAAGTGTCAGTCAGTGTAAATCTAAAGTGATCAGCATTTTGTTTCCATTTTTCTAACGTTACGTACAAGTTTTAAGACTCTGTCAGAACAAGTCACTGCTGAAGTGACCTTAATTGCTTAAGAATGAAGACGAGTCCTCTGCATATCCGAGCTAGAATGAGGCTTTTTCAGGTTATCCCTCTGCAACCTTACCAAAAATCAAGTTCCCCAAAACACTGAAATCCATCCTTTCCAAATCCATCCTTCCACATCACTCCAGAGCAGGAGGGAAACTGAGTCACCACGGGGCAGGAAGGGATGTAACGTAAATAACTTGTCTCAGATAGGTGGAAAATGGTCCTCTAACAAGCAGTCCAGGACCTAAGGCTTTTTTGAAGAACTCTTATCATTTAGGAACAGGATTTTTCTCAAAATAAAAATAATGGGAATGTCCTGCATACTGTTTGATAACCACAGCGTGATAATTGCGTACCCCTTGATCATTTTTTTGAGATGCAGTTTTGCTAGATCTTTATGGCAGCCCTAACAAAAACTCTTGGTCCTAAGCCTGTAAACCACAACTAAGGTAAAACTCAGCAGTGGTTACCTCTCTGCTAAGACCTTCAGAATTCTTGTGTTCCTCAAGAACTGTACAAATACTAAAAAAAAAAAAAGGCACATTAGAATGAAAATAAAACTCCAAAAACTTCATTGCTTGGCTGTAGTCTTGTAGAACAAATCAGACAAAAGCATCCTCTAGGGAGTATTGGATTTACTGAATCATCTGTTGACAATTTCTGCATAAGAAATTGCTTTTATAAAAGCTAGGAGTTGGAGTTAAGGCACTATTTAAAAAAAAAATAACCCAGGAAGGGTTTTCCATTTCATGTTTTTCGCATTGTGGTGTCACCTTGGAGATGAATTGGTTGCCTTCACCGCAGACGTGATTTTAGGGTTTGCTTTCCTCTTCTCTCATTTTCCATTCACTATTAGTGCCTCAGAGAGCTGTGAAGCTTTTTACCCACTGCTCAAGTTTAGTACGTTGCTACCAGAACTACAGACTAGCAAAGGCTTTTTTTTTTCTCTCACGCACAGTCATTGCAACAAATTCAGTTGTTGCACGCAAACTACCTCTGAAAAAGCAGTAATAATTACCTAAATTGCTTCTTATGTCACAGTGGTCCTACTTAAGAAGCGCCTGAATGATTAACCTCACCGCTCACAGTTTACGCAGTACAATAGTTGTTATAACTTAATCACAGTTAATTTCTTGAAATTCGCAGTGTGTCTTCGAGCATGCACAATTTTAAGTAGGGAGACAGATTGAAAGGAAAGCCTTTTAAAGTTGTGCAACCACAAGCAATGTGTGGGATGCAAAAGTTCCTAAGGAATGCAGTTTTGCTCATTTTAACTGTAACAGACTGCAGTAAGCTTCTCAGGCTAAAGAAACTAAATACATGGGTAAGGGCAATATGCAAAATTACGTAAGCTAGGACATGCTGCTTCTCTTTCAATGCCCCATCTCCTTCTCTATTGTGTCCACCCTCCTGAATTTCAGTTCAAATTAACAGGAAGAATTTAGAGACTGGTGGTAGATGGGTTTGAATTTCTCTGGGGAGTTCAGCTCATCCACAACACCATTTTTGCACAAGCATACGCTGTTCTGCCATTCGTTTTCAAGTAAGACACATACCCTTTGTATTTCCAAACAAGAGAATTAAAAAAAAAACAACAGAAATTTAAAAAAAAAGGGATGTTTGCAGGACTCTCATGTAGTTCATTTAATGCAGCTATCAATCTCCAGCCCATTAGTCTTTCCCTTCTGAATCACTGCCTTCTCACCTAAAGGGTCAGCTTTATTTCATATATTCTTGGCCAAGATATACCTGATTTTTCCCCTCTCGTCTCACAATTTTTTTCTTTTTTTTAGCAATATGCAAAATATTTGTTTACAGCTTTACCCTCAGATTTTGAGAAACGTTACATCGTGATCACATTAGAAGTCTGATGGTATGCAGATGTTCGCTATATGCAAGAGGATTTCTTATAACATAGTGAAAATCAGTTGCAAAAGGAATAATTGTACCAGATAGAAGTTTTCTTAATATGCTCCAGATCGTATTTCCCAATTTGGTCAGTAGGAATTAAAATACCATATACGCATGGCTTTTTTAGGTCACTATTTGTATGGTTCCTCTCTTCTAGGGAGTTGATATCAGTAAATAACCACGCGCCTTCCTTCTCTCCATTAATCACTGTCTGTGAGGTTTCATCTGCCACGTTCACCGCGTCCTGTCAGCCTCAGAGGGCTGTTTTGAATCTCAGGTGTTGGAGAGATTCTTTGCGGTGGGGACGCTGTACAGCTGTCAAATTGCTGTTTATTATCAGGAAGTAAAAAAATTAAAATGCATGATGGTTTGAACCACTTACTTGAGCTGTAACTGCGTCCAAGTCATTAAGCCATGTTGAAATCCATCACAAAAAACTTTTGCCAGGGAAGTATACAAAGTGGTGTTGAACTGAAAAATGTGGTTCAACTCCCTTCTCTAGTAAAAAATAAATAAATGTTTGCCTTAAATATACCTAAATACATTCCAGATTGTTGAATATCTGTTGACAACCACCAATATTGTTGCAAGTGTACTCTTAATATAGTGTTAAGCAATCTTGACACTCCAGGCCATGGTTGCTGGAAGAGGCGAGAACAGGAAATTACAGGCTACTTGTATTTACATAATTGTTTTCATTTCATATTTATTAGTCTACTATGCATCGCACAGCTTCCAGCCCTGTTTTCTTCTCAACAGCCAACAAGTGGGGCTCTTGGTTTTGAAGCACAGTGAAGAGTTGCGCTTCTTTCCCTCCTGTTTACTCCCAGGACTTTTTGTGTTTGCTTCCTAGAGTCGCTCTGCACGAGGAACGACTCCAGGTGCCTGCCAGACCCTTGCCAAAACTCTACGTGCGCTGCTGGTCGTAAAGACGACACTTGCAGCTGCGCGGACGCATCAGTGGACAGCGTGGAGGAACTCTGCAATAAAACCTCTGATCCTTGCTCCTCGAACCCTTGTCTTCAAAACGCTACCTGTTCGAGCTCTGCTGGGAACCTCAGCTTTACTTGCGACTGCCCTTCTGGGTATAAGGGACCTACCTGTGAAACAGCCATCAGCGCATGCGACACGAACCCTTGTGAGCACGGAGGCACCTGCCAAAACGGCCTGGCTGGGCTCACTTGCCTTTGCAGCGCAGGATACACGGGTACGCTCTGTGAGCTGGATTTCGACGAATGCATTTCTGAACCGTGCCACAACGGAGCGGTGTGCAGGGATGGGGTCGATGAATACTCCTGCTACTGCGTGCCAGGCTACCAAGGCAAGCACTGTGACCTGGAAGTGAATGAATGCATGTCAGACCCCTGCCTGCATGGGGCAACGTGTCTCAACCAGATCGGACAGTACGACTGCATCTGTCCACTTGGGTACACAGGTAAGCGCGGTTAAAGCAACTTTTTCCTGATGCTGTGGAGAACCATCATAATTCATGTTCCAAGCTCAGCTCCTGCACCCACACAATTATTTCATCATATCTCTACCACCACCTTGCTTTCAGCTTTGGCACCAGTGGCTGTTGGTGCATTCCCAGTTACCCTATCACTGCGAACTGCTGAGAAGGATCAAAGAAAACTCACATTTAACAAACACTACAGAGCACTTTTGTGAACATCGAGCTACATCACGGGGCTAGGTCAGTGTTCCTTTTAAAAGAAACATTCTGAAAATGCATGTCCTCAGAGTGCTACACATAGCTGTTGGTCCTCAGACAAAGCCTATGTTTGACAGCGCTAAAAATCAGATCTAATTAAACTTGCTTGATTCGTTAATCATGACAAACTGTACTCTTAAAGCCAGATGTTTCATGTTAACTTCTTCTCTTCTGCCCTCCCCAGAAACAGAGCACTCATTTGCAACTAGGACATTACAGAAGTTAAATAGAAAAGTATTATCAGGTTCCCCAAAATGCCCATTTTTTGATAATCCTATTTTATGTGGCTCCATTTTTAAGGTACAGGTGTGATTTTTTTTTTCCTCTACCAAAGAGCACAAAATCCTTGCAGGAGACAGCTCCCTTCAGATTTTAAAGCTGTGTTCAGGGCTAGGACTGCAAGAGGTTGTACGCTAAATCATTAAAAGGTAAAAAAGGTAGGCATTTTAGTGATAGATTGCCAGTCAGGTAAGCAAAGGGAAAAGGAAAAGAAAAAAAGAAGGGAAAAAACCACCTATGGCTTCAGGTGATTCAAATGAATAAGAAAGAAGAGATGTGGTTTACAGCTCCATCCCCAAATCCCCATCCAGAAGGGGAAGTCAGAGGTAAAAAGCAGCTTTCCTGTGCCTGACACAGCACTTGTTGGAAGGCAGCCCTCGGTTAATACCCCTCATGAGCATGGAGAATGTTATTTGAAGGAAGCTTGTTACCTTCCTGCCACCCCGCTGCTGCCAGCGGGTGTCTGAGCCCTGGCCAGCCGAGGAGAAAACTACACAACCGGGGGAAAGCCAAAGAGCAGAAGGAAGGAAAAACCTATTAACAACCAGCATGGTTACCCTGCAATGATCCGACTCAGCCCAGACCTTCTGTTGTACTCAGGAAACTGTATTTGTTTAACTGGCGCTGTTAGTGGGGTCCAGACCTGGATCCACAGCCTGGCAGCTCGGTTTGAAAGAGACAGAATATACACCTTAGGGACAAAGAGAGAAAACATAATAAAATAGTAAAACCCTAACAAAAAGAAATGAGGATTTAGATCAACACAAACTGCTGGAGGAAACTCACGCGGCTGGAGTCACTCCACTCTCATCACAAAATTCTGCTGCTTCCCAGGCTGATGCTCTCTGCTTACGCCAAAAATCAAGCACTATCACCAAGTGCTCCACACTCAGCATCAGCAGAGTTAAGAAATGAGGGGAGAGCCAAGGAAGGTCGTCTAAAACACAAAGCAGAAGAGGCTGCACTGTTTCGACATGCAGCTCCAGCACTGCTTCCAGCAGCAAAGAGATTAATCATTATAATTCTATAGAGGAGTAGCAGACTGTTCCTTCATTAGTAAACCACTAGCTTTTAAAGGCTGTTTAACAAAATGACATATCGGAAGCATTCTTTTTCATTGTTTTCTGCACCTTGCTGTGAGCTGCACTAAACGCACAAGCCAGAGGGATTACTGGATGAAAGCCCTGAGGTGTCCCCACTGGTAATAAAAACCCTCACTTACTCTGTCAGGGGATCTTTCCAACCATTATTATCCTGGCCTGACACGTGGAATTATTGTGGGAAGTCATCCAGCCTCATCTCATTTCTCTAAGATGTTTAGAATGTTGTATCTCTTGATGCGTAGGTAGACAACGTACAGGAATTCTACAGCAGTAACGTTAACCAAATCCTTGAGTTACTGGCTGCAGTTGCTACTTGTTCCATGGACCATGACTGCTATTTTGAATGATTGCTATGCTGCAGCACTTCTTAAAATAGCTGAGAAATGTCACACATAATTCTTACACAAATGGAAGAGGTTAGAGCACACCAAGAGCCAAAGACTGGAAAATTTAGCATGAAATCTGCAGTTTCTATGATAATGTTCTGCATGTGTGAAATTATTTACAAGACATGTGTCACGCAGCTGTTAAATAACGAAGCTCAATTGATTTGTGGAAGTTTTGCTGGCTACCTTAATCAAATGCTTTTTTCCTCCCCCTCCATTGCACTAATTGCGCTTGCTTTTAATTCACCCCAACAGCGCGTGGTGTACAAGCCCGTTATTACCCACAGCCAGGTACACTAATTACCTTGCTGGACGCAGATGAAGCCAGTCCTCCATTGCCAGGAAACATTTTACTGGTGAATGTCAGGGTTGTGTGGCAGTTCCAAACCTCAGTCTCAGCCAACAGCAAGAGAAAGCATTTCAGTGACAGATGAAACTGGGCTAAATTCATTCTACGTGCGATACCTTTTACTATGATGTATCCATAGCTTCGAGGAACTCTGCACAATATATGAGGATCTTTAAGTTCTCATGCATTACTCTTATCAATATATATCAATACATACAGCATGCAAATATTTAGAGCAGATGCATCATGAGTCTTGGGCATCACCGTGGGATGAAGTACCTCAACTACAGATCTCGCTTCCCAACAAGCTCATGGCAGCATTAGTGTGGATGTCGATAACAAACAGCAGTTGCCAAGAGTGGAAAGCCTGTTTCCACCCTCAGCATTCAAGTTCGAAACCCGCACTCATCACGTGGTGCCTCAGCCACCCCGAGCAGAGGCTTCAGCCCAGGTTATCAGCTCTGCCGAGACCCCGAAGCACAGAACCGTGACACCTGAGGAGCCCAGCAGCACTGGCCATGTGTCAAAATGAAGCTTAGCAGAGGGCACGTGCATCCAAAGAGTGTTTGTCACAGTTCCTAACTTCACAGTGGGGAGACCTTTGCTTGGATCTAGCCCTGCTGATCCCCTCTGATTTTGTCTGCGTAGCGCAGCATCCTAAGACCTGTAACAACTCATGCGTGTGCATGGGTACAGGCAACTGGGGGTTAGCACAGATGTGCGTGCACAAAGGATGAGCCTCACTCCAAGAAACTGAAGTCTTCCCTCTGTCTAATTTTTGATGAACTCCATTCCTGTCCCTTTGAAGCTGGTGACTCTCCATGCAGATGATTACTATATACAGATGGAGGAAGGTGGGGACAGTTCTCTGTACTTGCCATGCCTGAGCACAGCACCACAGCGCAGGAGAGTGCAAGGGGTGACCTGGATACCAATTTCCAGCTGTACGAAGAACTTTCAGGTCCTCCTGGAACTACACTGTGCCTGCAAACCCCTAGTATCTTTGACCAGAAAGTGATTTTACAATATATCCGTAGGCAGGCAAGTTTGAAAATGTTCGCTGCATTTCCTTCCCCCTTGCCTGCATTTACTTTTTATCGATTGGGGCTGTACAAAGCACACAGTTGGACTCGTTTGAAAAGCACACAGTGTGAGAAGTAGTTCTTCAAAGAAGTTATAAATATCAGTTATGTCCAGTCTTTCAATTCAAGCCACTTGTGTGGTTTGGTATCTGCTCTAAGATGCCTTCACTCCTGGTGCTGTAGCCCCGCGCAATAACTGCAGCAGGGCTCGTCGGTGCTCTTTTTTCCTTCCTGGCATATGATATTTGGCGTACAGCATGTTTTACGACAGAATGTTAGACCGAGGTGCAAAAGCAGATCGAATCTTTTCGTCTCTTCTCTTCTCTTCACATCCAAGAAAGCCTGACAGCAGATTCAGCAGAGGCTGGGAAGGAATTCCCCCGTTGGCGCGGCGAGCTGGCTGGGTGCATCATGCAGAGAGAAGTTTTCTTCCGAGGCAACATTGCCGAAGGCAGGTTACTGGGCTTGATAGATTAAAGACGTGAACCAAAACAACAACGCCGCGTTCTCGTGTTAATCATCAGGCTGTTCTCAGGCTTGTAGTTTTAAATTTGGCTGAACCGAGGGATCAGCGGAACAGGGCTTGTTTTGTCACATGATTTTTAGCGTTCGCAGTGAGCTGTTAACGAGCTCTGGCAGATTTACGGTCACTAGACATGCTGCTGCAAACACATTGTTTACGATTACAGTGAATTCACAGGGCAATGACCACAGAGGGATTGCTCAGGAAAGCTGGATGTAACATACATTACCATAAAGCCATAAGAGAGTATCCCTGTGCTAGGGTCTCGCGGCAGCCTCCCGCTGAAAGTAGTGGCTAGTTGGTCAATGAACCTTAAACTGGAGGCACGGCACTGGTGACTTCACCCCTCCAGTGACCTCAAAGAAGTATGAAAAGATATTCTCTACAATTACAGCAGTAATATTTCATAGCTACTGGAGAGATGAATTTGCACTTTAGCGTTTAAATACGAAGAAAAATAGTTATGAGCTAACACACTCAAATTTTGTGCTGACATTTTAATATATTTCCAGGTGTTTATTCATAATATGCATTTGGGGTTTTTTTTTTAAAAAAAACAAACCACAACCAACAGGTGCTACATTCAAAAGGGTCAAAATAAATTGGTAATCATGTAACAGTGCTAAACCTTAGCAATCCCAGTGTTTTGAGAATGATGATCTGTGTTAGAATGTACAACGTTCACAGGACAGAGCTGGCAAAGTCAGCATAAAGCAAGAATTAGAGGTGAGCTCCTAAATAAATTGCTAAGATAATAGTCATCATCAAAATATCTTTGTTCCCATCTTTTGAAAGTCTGCCCTGTCACCTTGTACTGAAATCTTCCTGCCCCCCCCCCCCCCCCAAATGGAATCCATTTCAGGGCTACAGATTCTCTTTCAAGCATGAAATTGCCTTGAAAACTATTTACCATACTACTGCTACTTTGGTAAGCCAAATAAAAGCTAGGGAAGTGCTAGAGGTAAGAAAAAGAAGTGTATCTTTATCCTGCCTACTACCATAAATAGCTGTAAAATAATATTGGAACTGACTTAGTTCCATCAGTTATCACCGAAGAGAAGCTCCAAGATTCTGACCTGTTGCAAATAGAGCATTATGGACTGATTTATTTACTAAATCTTTAAAAAGAATAAGCAATAAAACACAGCTAAATAGACAATTTCCCAATAAATTCAATTAACTGTGCAGCTTTAAACAGGCTTTTCTGAGGTCATTAAATTACCGGTCACTTCTGTATTATATAAATAGGATAGTAGCATGGTTTGAAGAATCTGAAAGAGTCTTTCCACGTTCAAGCTAATATAAAAAGGTGTTATTTTATCTTTCTGTGTGGAAAACAGCTAGTTTGTTCTTTTGTAAATTCTCCCAAGCCCTGAAAAAAAAAAAACGGTCCTGCAGTGAACATTGAGGAGAAAACGCTTAAAAAACGAGTTACACAAATATCGTACTTAAAACGGTCCTTGCCAAGATCTCCAAAACTATCTCCTAAGTCTGTGTGCTTGTGCTCTTTGCTTTTGAAGGTACAAACTGTGAGCTGGAAATAGATGAGTGCACGTCCCAGCCGTGCCTGAACGGTGGGACCTGCCGCGATTCCCTGGCAAGCTTCGCCTGCTCCTGCACGCCAGGATTTCTTGGTGACCTCTGTGAAACCAACATCGACGAGTGTGCCAGCCGGCCGTGCCGCAACGGGGGACAGTGCATGGACAAGGCCAATGGGTACGGCTTCTGCAGCTGGGTAATGCTGATATGAGGTCCTGGTAGCTCCTCTGCTTGCACACAGGAGTGCTACAGCTGGTTGCATTCCAGAATTCTCCATGAATTCCAGAATTCTCCATGAATTCCAGAATTCTCCATGAATTCCAGAATTCTCCATCCTGCACTGATTTTGGTTTAAATTTGAAAAGGGTTAAATTATGCAAGTCTGGTGCCAGAGCCAATAGGACGACAAAGTATGTATGGCAGAGACTGAAAAGTACATTTTTCCACATTTGTACCTTTACTTTCAATATTTACAATGTGCTGTTTACCTGGTCCTGCAAATTGTCATTTGGAGATGAATTCTGTTTCTAACACTTGTCGCACTTTAGTTTCCAAGAGAGATGTGGGAGCGTATAAAATTGAGTTTGCCAACAGCAGCTGCCCACACTGACGAAGAGGGGAATCAGAAAAGAGAAGCAGAAGAAAACTGTAACAGTAGTAGATATCATTAGGATATAGAGATATCATTAGGAAATAATAGATAGTAAGAGATATCATTAGGAAATAATAGATAGTAATAGATATCATTAGGAAATGTGTCAGGAACATAGGACAACAGCTCCTATTCAAAACAACCTGCAGCCCACAGGCAAATCAAAAAACATAAACTAAGAAAATACAAGGCAACAGAAAAGTGAGCTTCTCTACCTCCTGTTAAGAGCCCTGCACAGAGGTCGCAGCAGAGCCCAGGCAGCCAGAGCTCTGGCATCCGTTCACCAATTCTGGATTTGCATACTCAGCATACGATAACCCAAACTGAAAGTACACATGTATAAGTTCAGCCTGAAGGTTCGTAGGTGCATCCACGCAGGCATTGCTCTTGGCAGTGTGTTTTCCAGTTCTTACAAAGCAATTTTGAAGATTTTAGCACCCCAAAAGTCACGCCAGCCAAAGGCGTGCTTGCCTTGAACAAGAGATTGAGTTCTGGGGAGGCATTCTGGTGATGTGGCACCGAGCTCGTCGAGCCCCTTTTCAGCAGCACTGAACGACTCCAAACAGGACAAAGCAATTTCCTATTTTCCAGCATAGCTGAAGCATGACAGCGAGGAGAAGGAGGTCACCTTGCACCTGACTAGTTCTCAGCAGACCGATTTAGTAACCTGCAAGCCTTTTGAGGATAACGCATGAAGTGAGCAACCGGGATGCTCATTCAGGCCAGGCTTAATCCTACTCATTTTTCTTGAGCTTTTAAAGCTGTGGTACGTGTAAGAGCAATTTTAATTGGCTTGTAATACTGCAGGATATCTGGAGAACAATTGGAGCTCTTACCACATTTGTTACATGATGAAAAGGGTTGGACAACAAAGCAATTCAGAACAGAAGGGTGTCTAGCAATTTCCTTTCTTCTGTGTATTTTTGGGGTTAAATGAAGAATTGCAGTCTTTAAACAGTAGTTATCCTTTTTCTGACTAATGCTGCAGTACAACTGAAGCTTTTGTGTGTGCCACCAGCTCTCACAGGAAAGTGCAGGGTGACGGATTTAACATTAAAAGCCACAAATACAAACAGCGAACAATATTCTCTCCTGAATTCCAGACTGATCTTCCAGTGATGTTTCATGAATGCAACAAAGTAGGACTTGATCTCTTAAAAAAACCAGTTTCACATTATTGAACGTTCCTCATTTAAACTCAACAATTTACAGATGTGCCTTAGTTGAACCTATGAAACCTGGTGTGTGCAGGCACAGAGGATACCTCGGCATGTGCCAAGCCTTTTTTTCCATAGGAAATATTCCCAGGACCTTTAAAATGCTCTTTTGATTGCATAGAAAAGGACATCCGCACATACTGCTTTCTGCGTATTGTGAGAACATCAAACAAGAAGCCCCCAAAACATGTTAGGTAGTATCTCAGAGTATCACTCTCAATAGAAAAAGGCATTTTTCTGCACACTCACAGCCTGCCCACAAGCAGGGCAGCCTCTGGAATCCCTGAAGGTCAACAGCAATGTCAAAGGCTTAAAAATACATGGGGAAAAAGGCACACAGGTGGGGCTTCATGTTAAGCAGTGAGTTTTCAATATTCCTCACCGATCCATGATTCTGAACCAAAAAGGAAAAAGGATCGTGGATTAAGGCAAAAAAATAATAAAAAACTCTTTCAACAAAGATTTTCACAAACAAAAATCTTTCACAAAGCTGAACAGCATCAAACTGAAGGCACATGGAGGAAATGTGTGAAAAATACAGAAGACTTCTGTTTTGAAAACATTCCTCTGAGTGAAAATTATTTTTCTGATTCACATCTTCCTCGTTATTTTTTACGTCCTGAATTAAAATGCCCCTGCTCTAAATCATCTCTGATTTTGATTTAAAAATAATCCATACACTAGTAAAAAACCGGTCTGCCAGAAGTTTCTGCTTATGTGCGCTTAAATAGTGCAGTAAAAAGTTTACACTTTTTTGTTTGTTAGACTGCAGGAGCCAGTCGTTCTCTGATGTTCCACTGAACAATCACCCTTTCTCTCCGTATATTTACCCTAAGTCTAAGACTTGGATATTAAGCACAGAAATTATCAGATTATCAAATATCTTGTTCAGCAAGATTGCCCATTATTTCAATTGCGCAGCAACCAAAGTATCATTTTAATGTAAAATAAAACCAAAATATTTCAATTTCTACCAAGAGGAAGGGATACTAACACACTTACTGCCTCTCCACTTTTCATCTTGTTCATAATGTTAAACCTATAAAAATCACATTGGAAATGACAGAAACATTTCCCCTCCCCCCTAAATTAAGAAGAGAAAAGATCAACAATCCTTAGAAGAAATGATCTGCCAAAACCAATTTGAATTCACAAGCAGGTTTTTCTCCCCTCAGACAAAACCACATAGTTCAGGGAAAAAGCTCAGTGCTGGTTCCCAGTTTCTGTGGTTTCTCCCAGAGCACCAGATGGTGGTCTCGAGCCTGGGCTCAAGTGTGCAAGTCGCTAGCCAAGGCTGCACGAGAAGCCTGCACGGGTTTGGGAACAAAGCCCAGACCCCCAGCTAGAGTGAACATTGCGTTCTGTGTTGCAGGTACAGCTGCAACTGCACCGGCACTGGATTTATGGGCCTGCACTGCGAGACCCTAATTCCCTTATGTTGGTCACAACCATGCTATAATAACGGCACCTGCGAGGACAATGCCGACAATTACACATGCCACTGTTGGCCAGGTGAGCTCTAAGTTCTCCTATAAATACTCTCTTTCCCCGTGTAGTAGATATATCGTCTTTTTTTTTTTTCTGATATAATAAAAGGTTGAAGCTACATCACCTTAGAAATACTCTATAGGCTTGAGCTTAGATGGGCTTCACTCATTGTGAGTGAGCTCCCTATGGGTAAGTTGCTCTCCCAGCTAAGGAATGCTTTCCCTGCACAGCAGAAGTTGGCAAAAAAAAGAAGTGCCAGTGTTATGGAGCAAAGACAGGAGATATGTCAAAGTTGGGATCTGTCTCCCAGTTGCTTAATCCTTCAACCCCTGAGTCTGAGCTGTGGCTAACCCTTTTTTAGTCTTCACTAACATGACCTTTAAACCAGTCTAAAAAATTACTTTTAAATGCATAATGTTTTCTGTTTATCAATAAAAATTACACTAGGTGTTACCTTGGGAAACTGATCTCCTTCATATCACGAGTGCAAGTTCTTCTGTCTGACAGTGTAGGGTGAAACGCGCTGGGCTGTGTTCTCCTGTCTCAATCCAGTGGGAAATGTGCCCACCCATGGCAGGAGGGTTGGAACTAGATGATCTTTAATGTCCCTTCCAACCCTGACAATTCTATGATTCTCCTCTACCAACAATGCTTGTATATCCAGCTGTTTGTAAAAGGGCTCCCACACCCCTGTGAGGACACAGACCCCCACGTCCTTGAGAGACTTTGTGAATCCTTCAGCATGAACCAGCTACAAGAAGTCTCTCTAGAAATTTAAACATCTGTGTCCTTACTGAGGATGCAGAATAGCCCACTCGTAAGGAGTACCTGCCATTGTGGTGTTGGGCTACACAGTTCTTGGTGCATAAGAAATGGAAAAGTTAGGCAGAACCCTCAGCATTTTCCAGAAAGTGTGGAGTTCCATGGCGCTGCAAACTCCAAATGAAGCACTCGACGTACACCAAACAGTTTATGTTCCACACTCTCCTCTGCCATAGGGAGGTGGTGAAAAAAAGAGAAGGAAAGCTTGACACAACCCAAGAGAGTATCTACAGCACAACGTGGTGCCTTGTTATCCACATGGATCTCCGCGTTAATTCCTAAAAACCCCAAAGCCTGTAGAGCACAGCAAAGTTGAGCTACCTAACAGAGCCATAGCCAGGTCCTGCTGCTGAGCCCTGGTGGACGCCCACACCTTCAAGAAGCAGAGGAAACCTTTTAGCACAGGACAGGCTCCAAAACCAAATGCACCCAAGTAGTCACAGCATATATTCACGGCAGCGTTTTCAGGTCCAGAATGAATGAATAGCACCATCAATTAAACACCTTCTCCTCACGGCTCTCCACAGGCTACGCGGGCCCCCCCCGCGCGGAGGACATA